TAGAGTGGTGTGGGTTGAGGATGTGTGGAGTCAACCATCGTCTGCCGGCGCTGGTATTTCTGTGAGGCTGCCCGTAGTGGCTCAGGTAATGAAACTGACGGAGGTGCTGGCAAAGAAACTGATGGAGGTGCTGATGGAACTGATTATGAAATTGATGGAGGCACAAAAGAAACAGGAAGATGAACATATTGTAAGTTCTCCTCCCCAAAACTCTCCCCCTGAGGAGAACCACTCAAGAAGAAGGTAGATTCAAAAAAGGTAACATCCACAGTGACAAATCTACTCCAAGACACTGGGTCATAACAGTAATATCCCTTTTGGTTCTGAGCATATCCAAGGAAAACACATTTGTTGGCCTTATGATCCAATTTCTTGCGATGGGGGCCAAGAATGTGAACAAAAGGAAACACAACCAAAAACCCTCAAAGGTATGTGAAATATCTCCCCATCTGGAAAAAGAAGATTAAATGGCACCTTAAACCCCAAAGTCCRTGAAGGAACACGGTTAATCAAATGTATGGCTGTAAGAACTGCATCTCCCCAAAAATGCACAGGAACTGAAGCACACAGCATAAGACTTCTGGCCACCTCCACAATGTGTCTGTTTTTCCTCTTAGCTATTCCATTCTGTTGCGGTGTATATGCACAACTGCTCTGATGAATCACACCATGTTCTAAGAAATACGTGGTCAGGTCCTCAAAGTACTCTTTGGCATTATCTGATCTAAAGGCCTTAGTTCTCGCTCCAAATTGTGTGAGAACCATCTGGTGGAACTGTCGTACCAAGTTAGGAACCTCATCTCCCATGGAAGGGATATGATATGGCCCCCATACATCAGTGTGAACAATATTAAAAGCAAAAGTACTTATTTTATTGCTTGGTTTAAAAGAATGTCTACAATGCTTTCCTAATTGACAACTCTCACACTCCAAGGTAGATAATTGAACAGACTCAAACAACTTTGGGAAAAGAAATTTCAAAGAACTAAAAGAAAGATGTCCCAAGCGATTGTGCCAAAGCATAATCTGGTTCACTGACTCTGACCCACTACTATTGTTGCCGCTAACATGATGGCTCTGATGTCTCGGAATCTCATCCAGAAGGTAGACTCCATTCACCTCACGACCACACCCAATCATCTTCTTTGACTCCAGATCCTGCAAAACACAATTACCAGGAAGAAAGGTCACTGAATAATTCAAATTTTTTGTCAAAGAACTAACAAAAATTAGGTTGATATGAAGTTTAGGGACATGTAAGACAGAAGATAAAGTTATATCATTGGTCACTCTAACTATCCCCTTCCCAGCAATGGGAATATGTGAATCATCTGCTATAGAGACTTACAGCTGATAGGAACTGAAAAGGTAGGGGCATTAGTCATGTGCTCAGATGCTCTTGAGTCTATAATCCAGGGAGATCCCTCCTTACCTGAAGTGGATGCTAGATTTGCAGTTGCATATGAACTACCTATATGTGCAAAAGAAGTGGTGTAGTTGGCTCCTACATTTTGTTGTCCATCTGAAAGGCCAGAGCTAGGTGAATCTTTCTTACTCATAAGCTGTCCAAACCTCTCCAATTCTGTTATCACTGTTGCTACTGCAATGGATTCCCAATCAGTTTGGGAAAGAGGGGCCAAAGAGTATCCTATAGTGGCCACATTTGCATTTCCCTTCTTGTTCCTTACCCGGGCAGGCATAAGACTTAGATGAAGCTTCCAATAAGCGTCTCTGGTATGCTTAGGCTTACAATAATCACACACCAAGTCCTTATCTTCCCTTCTAGTCTCACGACTCCCCCTGTCTCCATTCGGCTTAGGTTTGGTTGTACTAACCATAGCCGGTTAGTCAACCCCAGGCTGTCTCAGCATGACATTTCTCCTACTCTCCTCCCTAGAGACAAAGGCATAGGCTTGAGAGAGTGTCACACCCTCCCTAGAAAGAATATGCTGCCTAGCAATGTCAAATTCAGGGTTCAACCCTGCCAAGAACTAAAAAACCCTATTTCTCTCTACCAGTCTTTGATAGGTTGTTGCATCATTTACACTTTCCCATACCACAATTTCTAAGTGATTTATTTCCTGTCAAAGGGTTTTTAGCATGGAGAAATACACAGCAAGGGGTTTTCTCCCTGTTTCATACTTATCACCTGATTCCTTAACTAGTAGGCTCTGGTCTCATTTTGCTTATTAGCCCCATAGGAATTTTTTTGCAATGAGGTAACATAGAATTACACAGCCAGGACATTACCATGTAATTTTCCTGCACCCATCGGGAAGAATCTGTATCAAGTTTCTTCTCCTCCCCAGTGATGTATCCTAATTTTCCACGGGCACCAATAGCCATCTTGGCTGATTGTGCCCACTCTAAATAATTTGTACCATCGAGTTTTACTGTAGTAATGATTCCAGACCCAAAAATATCACTACTACCTCCAACACCCAGTCCCACGGTACTAGTGGATTTCACCTCGGTACTCCAACTCGCTATCTTACTTCAAACAGTTCAATAGTAAGAAAAAATAGATTGGATATTTTCCAAAAGCAATTTAATATCACACACACAGAAACCAACCATTCCGGAAGAAGAAGACCCTATATGGAGAGAAATCTCTCTCCTCTCCACACCTTCCAACAGAGAGAAGAGTGAATCGATCACTCCGGGAGGCTCAGAAAATTCCAGAAACTTAACCGCCCTCTTCAGAATAACAAAAGAAAACTAACAATACCTGGGTGCCCAAGATCAGATAAAAAACAAAGAATCCAACTTTTCTGGGACTCTTCCCCGTACTCCAGTTCTTCCTGATTTTGATTCCGAACAGTAGATCACCTTCTTGATGACTAGATCCCACCAAAAAATCCAAGAACTGGGCAATATATAGTAGATCGGTCACCCCTTTGTTACTTCATGCAGTTGGCCGATCTAGGGCTGCATGAGAATGCTCCAAGAACCCTAGCCGGTGCTCTGATACCAAGTAGAAATCTGCTGAAATAAAAAATATGAAAAGAAAAGGGTTTCTTGAAGAGAGAAAGAAAAGAGGAGAAGAAGAAAAGGAGAGATCTTTGAAAAGAAAAGAGAGCAATAATCTAGCTGCTCCCTTCACTTATTATTTATACTAAAAATAATAGAGCAGTACAAAGATAACTATGCTCTTATAGGGCGGCATAACATGAAAACAACATATATAAGACTCAAAAACATAATAAAATTTGGATTCGCATAACTACTGTGGTCCCCACCTCCTATCTAACAACTAACATAAAACATCTACTCAGAAAACAACATAAAACTGATTAATCTTCAACAAGTTGGTTCTCGATTGGTTCGATAACATCACATAGAGACTGGACGAGGTGGGGCGCCCGATAGGAGGCCACCCACAGGGTAGTCGTTCTGTTGGGAGCCTGGGACGCCACAACGAACGCTCTTCCCATGTTCCATTGGTTCAGCGCCCAGTTGGACCAAACAGGGCTGACCCCTCAGGGTCCAACAACAGCAGCCGACGCGCTAGTCAGCCGTTGAAGACCTCCACCGCCGAGACCAAGAACGACAGTGTCGAATGGAAAACCCCTAGGATGAAGGCGAATGCTCTGACAACTATAGTCCTTCCCCGAGGGCTGGAGGCTGACGCTGCACCTCTCCCTCTCAAGTATCAGACCTCCGAGAACTTTTCAATGATCGATGGGCCAAAAGGAATCAGGACACGCCCGCATCAGAGTACTCGGGGAACAGGGCCGACCCATTCTGTGTCCGAGAGAACTAGAACGAGGCCCAGTCTCCCATCGACCAGAAGATTGTCGACCTACAGGTGTAGCTCAACGCCATGAAAGATGAAATCCGCCTGGTGAGGTGATGCCTTCGCAAGCCAGAATCCTTCGTCCAACAAAATGGACGCCTCCATTGACGACATCACCTTGGAACCTCTCCCACCTCACTTCAAAGCTCCCACACTAGAGATGTATGATGTAACCACTGATCTAGACGACCACCTGGAAAGCTTTAGAGCACTCATGCTCCTTTGCAGAATTCCAATGCCTTGACGTGCCGGGCTTTCCAGGTGACCTTCAAGGGGGTGGCCCGCCGATGGTTCTTCGGGCTACCACCTCGCTCCATTAGCTCGTGGGAGCAGTTCGCCAATCTTTTCCTTGCCCATTTCATCAGCAATCGACGGTGCCAGAAAAGCGTTGTCTCACTCATGTCCATCCAATAGAAACGTGGCAAGAGTCTGCAGTCATACACAGCAATCAATGGCCTCATGCCTGGCTCGGCCCTCAAGTGCTCTGTTGCCAAGACAAACCAAGGCGGAATTTTGTGGCCTCGATCAGCGAGCGCCAAGAAGGCGAGGCCGACCACAATGATGGGGGCCCAGAGAAGAAGAGGAAGAATGGAGACGGCCACGGCAATAACAACAACAACAAAGATGGCAACAAGAAGTCACCGGCCCCAACTTGCATCAAATATACGCCACTCAACTCCACCCGAACACAAATCCTCATGCATGTAGGGAAGGAGTACATGACGTGGCCTGAAAAGATGAAGAGGAACCTCAAGAGGGGTAACCCAAAAAAGTATTGCAAGTACCACCATGGCACTAGCCACGACACCGAGGACTTACAACTTGAAGAATGAGATCAAGTCCCTCATCCACCGTGGTCACTTGAAAGAGTCTGTGAGAGGCGATGTTGGCACCTCGTCCTTGTAACAGTAACAATAGCCGCAACAATTAGTCGGAGTCATCGACGTCATTGCCAGGGGCATGACCTAGGGTGGTGCCTCGGCCCGCAAGGCCTACGCCAAGCAATTGAACATCCAGGGGCCGACTCCCAAGAAGCTGAAGTAGAATGGAGACCTCACCTTTATGGACGAGGATCTGAAGGGGATCTCAGTACCCCATGACGATGTGTTGGTGGTGTCGATGGTCATCACCAACTTTATGGTGAAGAGGATACTGGTCGACATCGGCTCATCAACACATCCTCTTCTACGATGCTTTCGAGAAGATGAAGCTGGTGCTAGAGCACCTACAACCGGCCAATGTGCCACTTGTCGGCTTCTCTGGGAACGTTGTTAGACCGGAGGGAAGAATCACCCTACCAATCACGGTAGGAACAACACGGCAGGTGACGAGGATGACTGAGTTTCTGGTTGTGAAGATCGGCTCCCCTTACAACGCCATCGTTGGTCGGCCGACCCTTAACGCACTTAAGGCATTCATCTCCTCAAACCACCTCACCCTCAAGTTCTCCACTAAACGCGGCATCGGAGTTGTTCGTGGGGACCAACAGATGACCCGACATTGTTATGTGGCAGCACTGAAGGGCAAGAACAAGGAAACTTTACCGTTAGAGGGCCTCAACCTTAGGGACGAACCAGCGAGCCGAGGCCAATTGGCCGAGGACCTCGTCTCGGTACCCCTAGACGAGGACGAGCCCGAGAAGACGATACGCGTTGGGTCCAACTTTCCTCTAGATAGCCTTTTTGAATTGGTAAGTTTCCTCAAAGATAATGCCAAAGTCTTTGCTTGGTCTACTACTGACATGCCTAGAATTGACCCTTCGGCCATTACTCACAGATTGAGCGTGGGCCCGAGCTCTAGGCCAATTCAGCAGAAAAAGAGGAATTTTGCACCAGAATGTTGGAAAGCCATCAGCGAGGAAGTTGACAAGCTACTTGACATCGGCTTCATCCAAGAGGTACACTACCCTAACTGGTTGTTTAATGTGTTTATGGTGAAGAAGACTAACGGGAAATGGTGGATTTGTATTGACTTCACAGACCTCAACCGAGTCTGTCCCAAAGATAGTTTTCCTTTGCCGTGAATCGATCACCTCGTTAACGCCACCGCAGGGTACGATCTACTCAGCTTCATGGATGCCTTTTTCGGGTATAACCAGATCAAGATGCACCCCGAGGGCAAGGAGAAGACTTCATTCATCACGAGCATGGCACTTACCGCTATAAGGTCAATGCCCTTCGGCCTCAAAAACGCCAAAGCCACCTACCAATGGCTTGTGAACATGGTTTTCAAGCGCAAAATGGGGAGAAACGTTGAAGCCTACGTGGATGATATGGTTGTGAAGAGCCTGAAGGCCGACCAACACACCTTGGACCTAGCTGAGACCTTTTCCACCTTGCGGAAGTACAACATGAAGCTTAATCCCAGCAAGTGTGCCTTTAGCGTCACTTCAGGCAAATTTTTGGGCTTTGTTACACAATAGGGTATTGAGGCCAACCTAGAGAAGATTCAGGCTATCCTTGATATGGCACCACCTCGGTCGATCAAAGAAACTCAAAGACTTATCGACCAAGTGGCCGCCCTCAGCTGTTTCATGTCGAAGTTGGCCGACTGATGCTTACATTTCTTTCGAGCCATCAAGAAACTAAAGGACTTCTAGTGGACTGAAGAGTGCCTGCGTGCCTTTGACAAGCTGAAGTCTTACATCGCCTTTCCCCCTCTGCTCACTTGGCCGCTTCTAGGAGACATGCTGCGCCTGTACCTCTCGGTCGGGGACAAGGCAATCAGTTCTATTTTGATGAGGGAAGATGGAGTGTAGAGACCTATCTATCATGTCAGCAAGGTCCTCTATGACGCCGAGACCCGTTACCCCGAGGTTGAGAAATTAGCCTTCACCCTGGCCGTCTCGGCCAAAAAGCTCAGATTGTACTTCTAAGCCCACAACATCACTGTCTTGACCAACCAGCCCCTCAAGTCCGTTCTCTCCAAGCCCGAGACCTCGGGACGGTTGACTACATGGGCCATCGAACTGTCTGAGTTTGACCTGCAGTACTAGTTGAGGCCTGCAATCAAAGCACAGGCCCTAGATGATTTCTTGGTGGAGTGCACCTTCAGCAGAGCCATCGGCCCGACTCCCATAGAGGATGAGGAACCCCGACCGACTTGGAAATTGTATGTGGAGGGATCCTCCAATGCTAAGGGAAGTCAAGCGGGCCTCATACTCCTCACCTCGGACGATAATGAAGTGGAGTATGCGTTAAGATTTGACTTCTCGGCCTCCAACAATGAAGCTCGCAGGGTTGCAACTGGCCAAAGACCTCGATGCCCGACACATCGAACTCTTTAGTGAGTCCCAACTGGTGGTGAACCAGGTGAACGACGAGTACGAGGCCAGGGAACCCAACATGACCAAGTATTTAGCCAAGGTGCAAGACCTTATCCACCACTTTCAACGCTTTGCCTTGATGCAAGTCCCATGGACCGAGATCATAAGGGCCGATGCCCTATCCAAATTGGCAAGCACATCGGGTCCAACCCTCGGTCACACTGTCCGTGTTGAAAAGCTAGTGCGTCCCAGCATTGAAGAAGTTCAAGTGTTACCCGTGCAAGCCGACCCCTATTGGATGGACCCCATCCTCGCCTACCTGCAACATGAACAACTACCCGCTGACAGAAATGAAACAAGACGAGTCCGATGGTAGACAACCCACTACACTTTGCTTGAAGGGAAGTTATATAGAAGATCTTTCACCTTGCCCTACCGTCGATGCCTCTGTCAGGAAGAGGGCGAGAATGTGCTTCGAGAGATCCATGAAGGCATTTGCGGCAACCACCTCGGAGGTAGAGCCTTGGCCCAAAAAGCACTAAGGCAAGGGTATTTTTGGCTGACCATTCAGAAGGATGCAGCCGAGCAAGTACATAAGTGCGACCGGTGCCAAAGACACTCCTATTGGCCAGCTACAACCCTTTCGGCCCTTAGCAGCCCATGGTCCTTTGCCAAATGGGGAATGGATCTCCTTGGCCCCTTTCCTCAAGCCACAAGAAACAGAAAGTACCTCATCGTCGCAGTTGATTACTTCACCAAGTGGGTTGAAGCCAAACCATTGGCCACCATCACGACCCAGATGATTCAAAACTTCTTTTGGAAGAACGCCATTTGCCACTTCAACATCCCCCACATGCTTGTCACTGACAACGACAAGCAATTTGACGATGCCAGGTTCAGAGAGTGGTGTGCTAGCCTCAACATCAAGCAATAATATACCTCAGTAGGCTACCCCCAAACTAACGGCCTAGCTAAGGTCACCAACAGGACAATTTTGGATGGACTGAAGACAAGACAAAGCTGTAGAGAAGATGGGCCGAATGGCCCATAGGCTGTTTATCCTTTTTATCTTTTACGTTCTTTGCTGTAATGGGCCTTAATCTGGGCCTATTCTTTCTTATGTTATGTCTTTTTAATTTTCTGCCCAACTAAGGGCTTCTCTGTAAATTACCAAAGTTTAACTTAATAAAATAGAATTAAGGGTGTAAGAGAAGAGATTATGTTCGAAAATCTCTCTCTCTGAACCCAAGTTGCCACCACCTTCTTCTTCATCTTCTCCCCTCTTGAACTCTGATTTCTGCTACTTTTTTTTTTTTTGCATCTTTTTAAACAGTCATTTCTTCTCAAAAGGCTGTTTTTCTTCTTGGTATCAGAGCAGGCTCGTTTTTCCCCTTTTTTTAACTTTTTTTTCCCATACACAGTGTATGGAGAACTGAATCGTATGAATGGTTAGACACCTTTTTCAGCCCAGTTGTTAGTGGTTTCTGGAGAGAAGAGGACTGACTTTGTCGCCCCCTTGACAGATTCAAGTGTGTTGCCCGAAATCCTAATTTTCTGGAGAAATTTGATTACGGGCTCCACGGGGAGTTTGACTTGGGCGCTAGTGACTGAAAGTCTTATCATCCTTCATTTTGAAGATCAAATCAAGTGGATTGGTGTTCTGTGAAGTCTACAAGGAGCGGCTGAGATTTCTCTGTTTCTCCTAGCTTTCGGGTGTGACGTAGGTAGCTGGTACGGATGCATAGAGGTTGGCTCACAACACAGTTTTTGTTCTGTCTTCATTTGTTGTTATTCGAAGTTGTTAGAAGTTATTTTCGAAGTATTTAAGAAGATGAACCCCTCAGAAGTTGAAAACAAGCATGTTGCTGAATCTGGACAGGTTCCGGGAACCTCTGTAGACTCTCTACTGGCTGTGACCATAGTCAAGCTGGATGGAACTAATTATCTGGCTTTGTCACAATCAGTAAAAATTCATATCTACAATAGAGGCAGATGGGGTTTTATCTCCGGGAGCAAGAAGGCTCATTCAGAAGATGATCCATCATATGAAAAATGGATGCAAGAAAATTATACTGTTATTGGATGGCTTGTGAACTCAATGCAACTGCAGATTAGTCAACACTTTTTGTGGATGAATTCAGCAAAGGAAATTTGGGATAGTATTGCTGAAACCTATTCCCAGAAATTAAATGTGGCCAGGGTTTACAAGCTGAGAAGTGATGTGAAGAATTTGAGATAGGGGGAGAAACCGTTAGCTGTTTATTTCTCAATACTGAAGTCTTTATGGAAAGAAATTGATTTGATAGAAGTTGTAGCCTGGGACACCACTAATGATGCTGAGACCTACAGGAAACTTGTCGAGAGAAATAGGGTGTTTGAGTTTTTTACAGGGTTGAATCCAGAGTATGACATCACAAAACAAAAAATTTTATCCAAGGATAGTGTTTCACTGCCTCAAGCCTATGCCTTGGTAAGCAGTAAAGAAAGCAGGAGACTTGTCCAGGTTCAAGGGGCTGGTCTAAATGATCACTTTGCTAATATGGGAATGAAACCCAAGGGAGTTGCAGGGACTCCAAGTAGTTCAGGGAAGAAAGAAATTATTTGTGAGTACTGCAAGAAGCCAAAACACACTAAAGACAAGTGTTGGAAATTGCATCCTGAGCTTCTTCATCTTTGGTTTCAAAAGAAGTCTGATAATATGAAGGCAGGGAGTGCCAATATTGCTGCTGGTCCAGATAGTGACAGATACCAAATTGAAGAGATGACTGCTAGTGAGCAGTTAGCATCTATGAAGGTAGAATATGAGAAGTTTGGAAGGATGATTAGTCACCTAAAGGGTGTGGCCTCTTCTTCCAACCCTCCAGGAAATTCAACATCTTCTGCATTTTCTCATTTAGGTATACGGGCTTCTTCCAATCATGCAACTATTTCAGGTAATCGTAGGATCCCTTGGATTATTGATTCTGGAGCTTCTGATCATATGACCAGCCTTTCCACTTTGTTTGTTTCTTATGATTTATTTCCTGGCCGTGACAAAATCACCCTAGCCGATGGCTCCCTTGCCTCTTATCTCCGGCAAGGGAACCATCAAGGCTACAGATTCCTTGGTACTTCCCTCTGCTCTTCATGTACCCAAGCTAAATACTAATTTGTTATCTGCAAGTAGCCTAACTAAGTCATTGAACTGCTGTGTAACCTTCTTTCCTTCCTACTGTGTTTTTCAGGATCTGGAGTCTCAGAAAGCGATTGGGAGTGGCCATGAGGCGAAGGGAATATATCTGCTAGACACTCCTGGACAAAGCCATGGACCACCTCAAAAAGTTGCTTTTGGGTCTACATCTACAGAGTCCATTAGTCGAGTCATGTTATGTCATTTTCGTTTGGGTCATCTTTCTTTTTCTGCATTAAGTCATTTATTCCCAAAACTGTTTAAGGGAATTAGTCTGTCCAGTCTTCATTGTGAGTTGTGTGAGTTGTCAAAACATTGTAGAAGCAATTATCCTCTAAGTAATAAAAGATCTTCTTCTCCATTTCATATTGTGCACTCTGATGTGTGGGGGCCTTACCACTTACCTTCTATGGGTGGCTACAAATATTTTATCTTGTTCATTGATGACTTTTCTCGGTTCACTTGGATATTTTTGATGAAGTCTCGTGATGAAGTTCCCAGACTTGTGAGGCAATTCTATGAATTTGTCCTAACCCAGTTTGATACCAAAATTAAAATTTTCAGATCAGACAATGCAAAAGAATATTTTGAAAAAAACCTGACCTACTATCTCAGTGACTTGGGGGTTATTCACCAAAGCTCTTGTGTTAGGACCCCAGAACATAATGGAGTTGTTGAAAGAAAAAATCGGCATATTGTTGAAGTTGCAAGAAGTATTTTATTTGCCTCACATGTCCTTACAAAATTTTGGGGTGATGTTGTTCTCGCTGCAACCTACCTAATCAACCATATGCCATCCAAGGTTTTGGGGTTTAAGTCTCCCTTCAGTCTTCTTCATCCGAGCAAGGATCTTTTTCCTATTCCTCTTCGTGTCTTTGGCTGCACTTGTTATGTACATATCCCAAGTGTCCAGAGACATAAATTTGAACCAAAAGCCCACAATTGTATCTTCCTTGGTTATTCCCCCACACAAAAGGGTTATGGTTGT